GACGAGGGACTATTTGGGCCTGTGCTGAACACTTGGTGTTGACGACATTCCCATCTTCCCCTCTTCTTCGTCTAACCCCCAACTCCTTCGTCTGTGTATGGTTGGGGCTGGCGCAGTCTTCCTGTGTGAAGCGCCAGACCCCTTCACACCATGGAATGATGATGATGATGTATGTTTGGGGCTGCATTGCAATATTGATTGTTCGGATCAGTCTTCCGCTGTGCTATCTTATACTTTGTATTGAAAGGTCGGTTCTTGTTCTGGTCTGCACCTATACGGTATGCAACAGTCTACCTTCACCGCCCCCCCCCCCCCCCCCCCCCCCCCCCTTTCCAGAGTAGTGACAATGTGGTGCTCCACCTACGCACCCGACCCGCCCTACCCTTTCCCAAGTAGTGACAATGTGGTGCTCCCGAAGTTTCGACCGCCTAAATCGGAATGGCAAAGCATTGGTGCGGATGCCGTATGGTGATCCGGGTCCTGCGCACGACTCCAAGATCAGTGTGCACCTGTGCACCAACTGGCGTCTGATATGCAAAGGGCACAGGTATTAGGGATGCGGCCTCCGGTAGAGAGTCACCCGATTTCATTCGGAAAGGTCTTCGGGAGCATGTCAAGACAAGGTAGACGTGAGACGGGCGTAGGGAATCTTGACTCGTAGGCGAGAGAAGGGGCTCACATCTGGGATAGAAATAGACTCGTAGGCGAGAGAAGGGGCTCACATCTGGGATAGAAATAGAAAAGGGTTATACAAAGTCTGATGCTTTGAGCTTCTTTTGCACTTTCCTTTTTTTTCAAACATTCATTCACCCTCTTTTTCACTTAGCCTATTTGGACTCCACCACCTATCAAGTCCTTTTTTCCCTCCCTCCTTGTATGGGATGTGGTGCGCGGTGCACTTCGGATTTCTCTTATTATTTCCCCTTCCCCATAGTATGGGATGTGGTGAGCAGCGTACTTTGCATTCAACCTCTGTACTGTATAGAGATTGTACGTCAAGTACGTCGGGTACATAAACCCTCAGTACATTGTACAGCAGTGTTGGATGCATCCTGGGTATCCATGTTTGAAATAATTGTCTTGCAGACAAATGTGATAGCCATGTGTTTCTTACAAAGAAAACTATTGTGATCATGTTCTTTTTCGTGTGGGCAATGCCCACACCACCTGCTAGCATCAATGATTGATGATGGCTGCAATGGAGAAACACAAATAAGTTCTCACCCTCTTCAGAAAACAAGTCCCTTCACTGGAGTGGTCCATCTGGTTTGAAATCATACCCATCAACTGGTATGCCTTAAGCTCTAGATAGACTGACAGGATAGCATGTGCTGTATATGTCCACTCAAAATATTACTGAGGACCTGTGCCTGGAGTGGGCTGTGAGTCCATCAGCCTAGCTTGATGAACTCAACGAACGTAATGGCTAGGAAGATTCTCACGTCCGGTCGGTCCTGCCCGGCCTGGCACCCGGGCGTGACACCTGGGGTACATGGGTGTGCAACAAAAAAAAAAAAAAAAAGAAAAGCCTTTCGGTTTTCTGCTCTCTTCCAGAGGACCCCTAGTCGGAGCTCATTTCTTTTTTTGCGAGTTGGCTGTCAAGGGAGGGGGAGGGGCGCCAGCTCAACTGGTGGCTAAAGGGGTCTAAAGGGGGATGCCTTAGTGTGATTCTGTTGTTTTCTTTTGATCTGCGATTCCAGGAGGAATTCTTATGTGACCCTCAGCCAAAAGTCGTTTGTATTGCAATTCTACACAATCAACTTTTTTCCAGATTTTTTATTTTTATTTTGTGCTGGGGCTGCCCGGAACCCTGCCCGGTGTCATGCCCGGCCGGGCACCCGGGCGTGTACCCGGGCATAAGTTTGGTGCCCGAGCGCCCAGAAAAACAGCCTATCTTAATGGGCTCAATTTCTTAGCCCATAGCGTGCCATTAACTGAACTCAATGAATGTGATGAACTGCATGGACTCAATTCTCGAGCCCACAGCATGCCATTAATTAACCTTTATGAAGCCCAGAGCTTCAAACAGTTAGTTCCAGATTAAGGGCTGAAGAGATAAGAGGAGCATTCACCTGATTCTCTGCACTGAGTCCAGTTTCCTGATCCCTGTTGCCATCCCTTCCATTACGACGAACATTTACTCCCCTTCGCTGTCTGCAGAGACGGCCTCGAAGAAAAAGGTCGGTGACAACTTCAGAGCACGGTTATGACTTTGACTGGCCTAGCTCAGTTGATAGACCCCACAAACTGTCGAAATGCAGACCTGAGTTTGAATTCCAATGGAACTAGATGAGTGAAAATAACTCTGAATTTACGTGGGGGGGTAAGTTCAAAGATGATATCATGAGGCTGCCGCCCGTTTTATATAAAAAGAAAAAGCACAGTTACGATCTGGACATCGAGACAGCCATGAGAACAAGCATGGTTCGCATCCCGACCATTGCAGATGCAAGTCCACATCACGAAAACATATAGAACTTTAGATGTTTTTCCAAAAATTGACTTCTCGATGGAAAAGGAACTGCTGTGTACAATTTCAGTGCAAGCTTCTTATGGCTGACAGTCCTTGTGAAATTCCCCACCAAAAACAAAATACCTTTTTGGGATGATCACATGGTTCGAATCAGATCTGAAATCTGGACAATAACTGTACCCTTTTCCAGGTCTGCTCCTCATTGGTCAGATTCCAGGTCTGGTCGGTGACCATGCATAAGGGTCGAGGAGTCTGCTGACCATCCAGGTGTGCCAGTGTGTGAGAGAGACGGACTGTGGAATGCCATGCAAGTTGCAGAGAAACAAGTCAAACAAAATAGCGTGAAGGCATCCAGGTGCCGGGGCACCCGTGAAAGTCGTGGAAACCGAACAAGAACAATCTTCTACAAATAAAACATGTGTTTTACAGTTCTGATAGGGGTCAATACATCCACTGCTACTCACCTCTATCCCTACTACTAGCTGTGCAGCTATGGCCGCCTTCTTCCCTCAGCTCAGCACTGCCCAGCCAGGGTGCTAGCGCTGGTTACTCGCAGATAGCGCACAAGTGCGAGGATTCGGGTCCCCGGCAGGCCTAAGGGGGCCCCTGTTGCATCTGCGCCTGCCCTAAGTGAAGGCGGGCCTAACTAGTCACGAGAGGCCCTCAGCTGTCAATTTCGTATTTGGGGTCCAGACAGTTGTGACGCGCCGGTTGGTTGAAGGGAAATACAGGCCGAGCAACAAAGACATTCCACGTCCTTCTGGGCTTTTCCAAGAATGCAGGCCCTGGGCGAGAATCGCAGCCTCATACACTGACTGTTGGGAGGCCCAACAAGAAGAGGCCCAGTAGCTGCAACTCAAGCGCAGCATCCTGGGGCCTACCGGAAGCTTCTGGGCCCAGGCCCAGGCCCAGTCCAGCCAGGCTGCGAAGGCAGGCAGGCTCTTTCCATATAGGAAAGAGCTCGCCACCGGCAGCCTCATTCAGCACTTGCATGCTGGCACCAGCGCTGCTGGAGTGGACGCTCGTGGGCTGCTGCTGGCGCTGAGAGGCAAGGTGTTAGCGCGTGCGGTCGTGCAGGAAGCAGGGTGCTACTGAGGGCAGCGCCATAGCCCAGCCTCCATAGCTGGATGGGCTTGGACTACAGTGAGGCGCAGGGGTGGTCTTCGGGTGTACAGAGGGAAGACGTGGGAGTAAGTCAGGGGAGAGAGAGAAGGTTGATAATGATGATGATGTGAGGGCACATACCAGGTATTGGCGATGGTCTGCATTGGGCGACATCTTCAAGTACTTCGTGGGCTGCTGACATCAACAGTTGCATTGTCAATTAGTAGGCAGACTGTAGTTGTGCAGGAAGTAGGCTGGGCGCCGAGCGCCAAGTAGGGAGATAGGGCCTGGATACTCATGTTGGTGGTGGCGAGAGCAAGCTCTCATTGACATTGGTTTTCAGTGTTACGATTCTTCATTGGTGTTATATTGGTGCATTTCTGCTCTCTGGACACTGTGATACTATCTGGCCTTCAATGTGATTGTGCATTATGGACATTGTCATCTAGCTATTGCTCATTTTCCTTGCACAAGCGCTTTAGCAGCACTTTCACACTTCTCACGAGTGAACAATCTGCCTCCAATGTGGCTGGCCAGTCCTTATATTGACTTGGACTGAGCCTGAACTCGTCCCAGCCTCTGCTTCCTTTGGTTTGACTTGGACTGGGTACCACATGCCCACGGCCTGTTTTGCTTCAGAATGTGAGGCCAGGAATTCTCGAATTTTCATTGGTGTGCTGCTGCTTTGGGTCTATGGGACGTGACCTCTGCCTGTTGAATATGATTTTTGGACTGCGAGATGTGACTCTTGCCTGTGGGACACAACTTTTGCCTGGGAAGTGTCCTTTGCCTGGGGGATATGACCTTTCATCGTGAGATGTGACTTTTGCTTATGGAATGCAACTTTCCCTCTGGGATGTGACTCTCCACCGGGTACCTGTTGGACTTGACCCCTGGGGTACCCAACTGTGACCTTTCTGGACTGGCCTACTTGGCCTCTTTTGGCCTGAGACTTTGACCCTGAGATTCAAAATTGGGGTCTGCATCGTGGAATACCTTTCAGTGATGTCACTCAATGAAGCCTCCAAGAAGATTACAGAAAGAGTATGAAATACGCATGAAGGCATCCATTCTCTTCTTTGATTTCGATAAGCATGCAACCAATTCAAACTGGGACTTCCTCCGCAACTGCATGGGGAAGACAGGGGGTAGGAGAAGTTTTCAGAAAGTGGATCGAAGTTCTAAACAATGATGCATTCAGCAGAATACAGGTCAACAGATCCAACCCTTGACCCATTTCTTGATCGGTGTGGCAACGTGACCCACAGACCTGGCCAGTTTTCCTGTTCATCATGGAAGCAATCACCACCTTCCTCAGAAAAGACCCATCCGATGACAGAGTCCATCCATAATACTAAACCCTCCACGACCTGCCTGTAGTCTTGATGTTTGCAGACGACCGAATGGAATTGATTTGAGCATTCAACTCTTATTTCCAAGATTGAGTCACAGCCATGGAAGCATTCACACTAGGGTTAGAAATGTGGGTCAACTGTTTAAAAACGGTAGGCTGGTGGCTAGTTGAGGACACCCCCCTTCCACCCCCCGCACCAACCCAAGGACATTTCTGATCAAGTTTCCCAGGCTGCAGGGAACGAGGCTATCCGATACTTGGGAGTCATGATTACTAAAGACCATACCTGGCCAGGGATGGGTCAAAACCTGGTTGCCAAGGCGCTCAGTCTGCTGGCACCCTGCAGAAAAGCCATCCTCTCTCCAAGGCAGAGCTCTGATTATAGATGCCTCTATACTCTTGACGGTGTGGCATCTAGCCTATATTTGGCCCCCACCCGATGTAGCACTGAAGGAACTAAATGCTAGGTTCAGATGACTCCTATGGACAGGCAAGCCCCACAGACAGTCTTGCACATCACTACAAAAATGAAAGAGGACGGACCTGGTTTGGTCAACCAAAAACGGGAGGCTATAGCCCTCCAAATGAAACAGGTAAAGCTGGTGCCATTGTGGACTTCCTTTCTTTTGTTTTTTCAAAGAAAATTGGGCCCAGTGCCCAAGGCCTTAATCATGAATGGAAAATACAATGGTGATACGGGGGCCATTACCCGGCTTCGTCTCAGTGAAACAGATCCCCACTAAGCTGGAAAGCGGGTCCAGAGCCACAATGTCAACCCAACGTACAACATGATGGTGATTTCAATAATTTGAGATTTTTATCCAGGAGACAAAAATCGGAGAACTCAGTAGATGATAACAATGAGTATCCAAATTTGATATTTTAACACCTGAATCGGACGTCGAAAATACCCTACAAATAGCCAAGTTGATAACGCAGGTATCCACCATCAACAGGTTACAGAAAATTCTAAAAGTAGAATCATTACTGGCAGTGAAGTAGAAGACATAAATTCCCTTCTGATTATCATAACCATATTTTTAAACCGAACAAGATTATACCCAACAGACTCGTAAACAAATACGGAGTGAATTGTTTATGGTGAGAGTATTTGATGACACACCCACACTTGCATGCGCGCACAACGATGCACACACACCATCATCTGCTGTGTGAAATGGCATGACAAGGAACGGTAGTCCCTGACATCAATTATCACTTTCCTGAGATCCATACGTCTGCACCTTCGAAGGAGTGTTAACCTGGTGGTTTTCACCAGCATGGTCTGCACAATCATTGTGCACATATATAACTACTAACTCCTTGATGAGGGACACGAGCCTTTTTGCCGGAATGCCACCTGTCTGCACAAGATTCACATAGATAGATGACACGATAACCACAAGAGGAGTAGACATCATCCATACCTCTGCACCTTCGGAGGAGTGTCAACCTGGTGGTTTTCACCAGCATGGTCTGCACAATCATTTTGCACATATCTAACTATTAACTCCTTGATGAGGGACACGAGCCTTTTTGCCGGAATGCCACCTGTCTGCACAAAATTCACATAGATAGATGACACAATAGCCACAAGAGGTGTAGATATCAATGACAAGCTATCATATATGTGCTATGATCCTGTCCATTTCACATTGAAAATTAATATTTGAGGCAATGCCATAGATCGCAAAAGTTGAAAGAGGAATGAGAGAAGGAGAGAAGAAGAATGAAGGATCAAGAACATAAGCTGGAACCAATGTCATGTCCCTCACTAAGTGTAGAAAGAGCTCTCCCTTAGCTCACTCTCCCTCTCCACTCCATGTGGTATGGCTACTGACTGCAACAGCTCATCCATGGCTAGCGCGGGTGTTCGAAGTACAATGCCACTGCTCTTCTCCCTCTCCTCCTCACTTCCGCCATAGCTACTCTCTGGAGAAATCCATGTCAAGCTGGCATCCCAGCAGGGGTCTTCTTGATGCAGTGCCAACCAGGGAGAGATGGTTAACGTATACATATATTTTTAGGTCCCCTTATATTCCAAACGGTCTCAGGTCGATACAACAGTTTCAGACTGACTTGGATGGCTGGATGGAGCAAAGTGAAACGGGCTTCAGAAGCTTTAGACACTTCAGGTCATTGCCGCAATTCCAGACAGGCGTTGTAGGCTTGGATGGAAAACCGTTTCAAAAGCTTCAGACACCTCATATCATCGCCGCGGTTTCAGATTGGTGTTGTAGGCTTTGGATGCAGGGGAGCAGAAACCAGTTTCAACTGCTCCCATACAAGCATCAAAGATGGGTGCATCTGAAACCGATTTTCAGAAGTTTCAGCCACTTCAGGTCATTTAAGAGGTTTCAGATCCAAGATTGAGGCTTGGGAGGGGGCAGCTGAAACCAGTTTCAGAAGGTTCAACCACTTCAGGTCAGCGCCTCGGTTCAGACAGGTGTTGGGTGCTTGGATGGGGGGGCTTGAAAGTGGTTTCAGAAGCTTCAGCCACTTCAGGTCATTTCAGTGGTTACAGGTATCCGAAAGCAGTTTCAACTGCCCCCATCCAGGCATTAGAGAAGGGCGCAACAACTTCGGTCATTTTGACGGGTTCAGATCGATGATTGATGCTTGGGGGGGGGGGCAACTCAAACCAGTTTCGGAAGGTCATTTCGGCTGTTTTAGACCAATGTTTGATGCTAAGAGGGCAATTAAAAAAAAAAAAATCAAAACAGATGAAAAATTCTTAGGAAATAATAATAATAAAAAAAAAGAAAACCCAGGTTACTAAGGAACCTCACCATTGAAAATCCCGCATTTAGACATGAAAATCACTTTAAAAAAACACTCTTTTTCAAATCTGAAATGCACTTCATTTGTTTCAGATCTGAAAATTTTAGGATCGTTGACCACTAGTGCCATAAGCGCCAACAACCCCCAACTCAACCCCCAAAACACAGGCCACCCCCCCCCTTTTTTAACAACAGGCCCAGTGCCCAAGGCTGATAATTATCCCTCCCCACCCAAAAAAAAACAAACACCCATAGCTGTAACGAGCATGAGGCTGAGGTGAGCCGAGGGAGAGGAGAGAGAGGGAGAGAGTGAGAGCACACACACACACTCACTCACTCGACACGACGGACTCGGACTGAGGATCGGACGCAGACACAGTGGCAAGGCACAAAGTCGAAGTCTTCGATTCCCGAATGCCGAAAACAGCAAGTCACACTGAGTACGAGTACAGCAGCAGAGAACTGGTGCG